TTTCGGCTTACAAAGCCATCTTCTGAGCTATGGTCCAATGCTAAGTACAGATTAAGACCTTTTCCAACTTTTGATTTGTTTTTAATGTGATTGACATTTTTTTCCTTTTTGCATTCCTAATAAAACGTTAGTAACTGTCGGTATAAGATATCTTCATTATTCAACGATAAAGCCACATGTCGAAAGCTTCAAGTCCTAACAGTATAGGAAAGATATAACATCAGAGTAACCTGATTTTTATAGGTACTGATAAATCATGGTATTTGAATAGATTAGCAATTTTTTGAAATACAGATCTTGCTTTCTCTATTCTAAATTTAATTTCTAGGGAACAGTCCAAATTTTCATTGACTTTCGTACCAAGGTAGGTGTATGTTTTTATTCTTTCCCCATGATTATGGTATTAAATAGTTTTGCACATCTTTACTATCAGAAGAAAACAACTGGGCATTAAATTAAGACATATGTACTGATTTATTGGCCGAAACTCTAAATTAACATTGGATTACAAACTGCTTGTATACAAGGCGATACTCAAGTCCATCTGGATATATGGTATACAGCTATGAGTTACACCACTTCTTCTTCTTCTTCTTCATGTACCATGTCCTTTCAGAACGTTGGTTACCATCATAGCTATTTTAGTTTTATTCACTGCCACCCTAAATAGCATGCTTGTATCTACACAATACCAGTCTCGCAAGTTCTTCAACCATGAGGTTCTTCTTCGTCCTGGACTGCGTTTGCCTGCTATTTTTCCTTGCATGATGTTTTGTAGCAATCTATATTTGGGACCTCTCATTACATGTCCGAAATATTCCAGCTTTCTCTGCTTGATGCTTTTTATGATCTCAGTAGTCTTGCTGAGACGTTCTAGTATTGTGGAGTTACGAATCTTCTCCACCCAGAAAACTTTTAAAATTCTTCTATAGCACCACATTTCGAAAGCCTCAAGGCGATTTAGATCGATTTTATTCACAGTCCAGGACTCGACAGCATAAAGTAAGACCGAGAACACGTAGCAGCGAAGTAGGCGGATCCTTAATGCCAATTTTAGGTCTCTGTTACATAACACCTTGGACATCCTTCTAAAAGCAGCTCTAGCCTGCTCTATTCTGGATCTAATTTCGCCGTGATTTTCTGCATTACAATTTAATTGCTGTCCAAGGTAGACGATTTTATCAACTTGCTCAAGTTTGAATTTATTTACATATATAGACGGTTTTATATTCTGTTGTTTACTTATTACGAGTATTTTGGTTTTCCTTATGTTAAGATCCAGACCTGCCTCCCTACAACTCTCAACGACACTATCAAGTAGTGTTTGCAGATCTTCTTGACTAGAAGCTAGGAGTACTGTATCGTCCGCATATCGCAAATTATTGATGACTTCGCCGTTCACAAGTATTCCTTCTTGTTTTTCAGAAAGTGCTTTTTACATTTTTTTCAGGGGTGACAAGAGGCATCCCTGCCGTACTCCTCTTTTAATATTGAGAGCTTGTGATTCCACACCATCTACTAAAACTGATGTTGTTTGATTCCAATATAAATTTGCAATTATTCGAACATCTCTGCCATCCAAGCCAATGTCTTTTACACCACTAGCAATTCTAATCTTACAATCCTCCAATACTTTTACAATAAAGTGTTGTTTATAGTAAATGCCCCATAGTATGTTACATTCATCTTTACAGAAAAAGATCAGGAACACATTTAATGTTTAAGCTAAACATAACTATATTTTAAATTCTATCGTAATTATGTATTATGTAATTGTGTTTTATTGTTTTTAACTTCTTTGTGAATTAAATGTTTACAATGGCCACTTTGTGCCAAACAGAAACCATACTTATATTATACAACGCCTTTTTGATGGCTTTTAATTTATTTGCTGATCTGTTTTGGCTAAGTTCGACTATCTTTTGTTTCAGTGTTTTTTTTTTTCAAACTATTCTTGACTCTTTTTTCGGTATTTTATAATTACTCTTTCTTTCCTAATTTTCTTTTCACGAGGTTGGTCTGATAGGGAGATAGTTGGTTGTTTTTATATCTGCCATTAGTACAGCTCAACTTTTTAAATTGATGAATAATATTTTTTTAGGTAATTATTTTAAATAGTTTTCAATTCGAGTGCAAACAATCGGAATTATCGCTAGGTGTAACTCTTTTTTATGAGTGTTGATGCACAACTTGGAGGGGAAACTATGAGGAATATGGTGTTAATCTCTTTATATTAAGAGGAAACGTAATGTTAGCATCTATTTTAGTTCACGCATGTGTTTTCCATTGATTTTTTAATTTATAAATTTCATTACTTCAAACATTCAGACAATGGTAAAATCCCCAATAATAGTATTTAGCTCTAATATATTGGAGCTTTATCTCACTATAGGTTTGAGGTTAGGCAGTAAACAAATATTGTATTTTCAGAAGATTTATTAGAAGTCTTACTTTTATCGAATGGCTCCAGCAGTTATCCTATTTATCTTTAAGACTATTTTCTATGGTGTCACCTAAAGAACACAGGTATTAAAAGATAGGATTACCGTCGTTATAAGAGGAATTAAGCAGTCAACCATGTGGCAAAATCGATTGCAAAGTTTAAAGATCGCATGAGTTGTTGTAAATATTTCTTCTAATATTTATTTATTTTTGACTAATATATATATATATATATATATATATAATATATATATATATATATATATATATATATATATATATATATATATATATATATATTTATATATATATAACACTGTTTTTGATGGGTTGGAGTCAATAAAAGGGGCTATTTGTTGACTATTTTTTACTCGAGCTTTCAATTGTGATTACAATTTTTATCAAGAGCTTCTAAAAAATACAAAATGTCTTACAAAGTTTTTTAATGAAAGTAATAAATTTAAAAGAACTTTTTTGGAAATGGTTTGTATTAGCAAAAGTGATAATAATTTAAACAAAAGGTCAGAAATTCAAAATTTAAGCAAAATTTATAATTATATAATTTCTATTTAATTTATGCAGTCAGTAAAATATCACATTTTGAATTTTCCATGTATTTGTTACATTTTTTCGGGCATCTATCAATGGTGAATAAATCTTCTTCTTTTTTGTTACTTAACACAGAAGAATTTTTTAAACAAAATTTTATTTTTGACAATATGTCAAAAATAAAAATTTTTAAGTTAGTATTTATGTCATTTTAGGCTGGTTGTAGCTATTCTATTTTTGTTTATAAATTCAATTTTTTTTTCTTAAGAAACTTCATCTAAATTTTTCAGAGAAACATTTATTAGAATAAGGCATTTTTTTATTAATATTTTTTGTATTTATTATGTAAGCAGTAGTTTTATATAAAAAACTAATTTTATTTGGTGAGTTAACAAAAAATTTTTTATTTCTAGTTCAGCTTTGTAAGACATTTTGTATTTTTTAGAAGCTCTTGATAAAAATTGTAATCACAATTGAAAGCTCGAGTAAAAAATAGTCAACAAATAGCCCCTTTTATTGACTCCAACCCATCAAAAACAGTGTTTATATTTTTTCCAAACGAGTCACAAGTACTTCTTTTTTCTTACTCTTATATATATATATATATATATATATATATATATATATATATATATTTATATTTATGTAGATAGGTTAGAAAAACGTGAACTGGTTACGACCACCTTACCATCAGACGTTAATCTATATCAACGTTTTAAAGTTTTTATAAGACGCCCATGCGTTTCACAACAACTCCTTGAAATTGGAAAGACTTGATGATGACGAATTAACATTCTTGCTTTAATTTACACCATAAATCTATTTTATTATACAGATCTTATCAAAAATGCATCGCCTCGTTTAATATAATCTATCGAAATACAATGAAAACGCTAAATATTCGCGTGGGATGGCTATGAATGAGAATACCGGCCTTCTGTCTGTCTTCGGTTTCTCAAGAATATGCCACAGGCGATTTTTTTGTTGGCTTAATAGCTGCCTACTGAAAAAGTTTATCTTTACGGACACTGATTATGATTGTAGCCACTACTTGTAACTACAGCAGGAATATCATGGCTTACGATATAAATAAAGTAGAGTAAAAAAGATGTGTTCATTAATTAAATCCAAATATGTCTCAAGAAAATCAAAAATTAGAATTTAAAAAATATTTATCAGGCCGACTGCTATATATGAATGATAAACATGGGTGCTTAAAAATCAGAAATAGACCTTTTAGAAAGATGGAGAAGGAAATACAGAGAATAATATATCGTCCGTGAAAAAAGTAAACCTGCTATCTCCATTTGACCTAACTTTACAGGAGACAGTAAAAACTTAATAAAAAAAATTAAGTGGATTCTAGGAAATAATCAATCCATTTCATAATAAATATGCAAAAGGACCACATTTTAAAATAATATTAACATAAAATAAGTGATGCACTGTTTATTTATTTAAAAAAAGTGGAGATTTGGGAAAGTTTCTTAACCACAACTCATCAAATAGGGAGTTAGCAGCATGCGATGTAATATTCTATATTTTGTCTGAATTGTTAATTTATATTATTTTGTGTATATTATGTTCTGTAAGATGTAAATAGGTGTCTAAGAATAAAAATACAATAATATTTTTATGGTTTATGTAATTCAATAAATTTTACAGATGACGTAATCGGCTGGCAAAGTGCGTTTAATAGACTGCAAATCATTATATTTCCGGGTTGTTATGGGCAGTTTATTTTTGTGCAATTGTATCAAGTCATCAAATTGTTTGTGGATAATATTAAATTTTCTCTGTGGCAAATTATTCCATGATCACTAAATTGCTCTGTGTAAAAAATATCGCACTTAGGTGTATATTTTAAGTCTTTAATATCTTTCACCTTTAAATCACCCTTAACTCGCCCAGGTCGAATCGTCTTGTAAGTCATTACGTTATTAAAATTCTTAAAAAATGTATGTTACAAATACTTAACATTATATGGTTTCGGATTTTTTCGAGCCATCTTATAGTGCTGGACGTATTTCGCTGGCATGTTGATGACTTTTATCACGAACATGCTTTTCAATTGTAGAATGCATACTATCTGCTTCCATTTGAGTATGGCCAGGTTCCAAATATTTTTGTTTAATAGTGATGTTCTTAGTGACAGCTAAATTTAGCAAACCATTTGCCATAACCGCATTACGAGTCTGGTAGCTGCAGCCATCAGTGTATAAAATTATTTTGGCGCCGTCATGTAGAGCACTTGGTATAACTGATTCTTTTAGAAAATATACCCAAATTGAAGCAAATTCTTCTGCATTTAAAGCACCTTCAGTTTTATTCCACAGGAAACAGAAACCGTCATGATTGATTAAATTATAGACGCATAAGTTGTGAACTTGTAGTTTTGTTCTGTAGTGCAAATTACTCACCTTCGATTTTGGTGCCAAAAAATCCGCCTGCAAGTTTACAGTGCAATCATAAGCTTCTTCTTTTTTATCCTTCTTCTTCTGTCTAGCTTCCCTTTTTCTATTTTGACGTGCCGTTTGTTCTGTTTTGTAAACAGTTTCTACCTTAAAACCAGCACATTTTTCACATTCGTCTTTTTTTTGATGAAATTGAGAAATGTTACGCATCTCTATAGCCTGGTAAAAATATTTCCCAAAAAGCGGTTTTATATTTTGTTTCTGACAATGGTCTGCTACATATAACTTATAAAGTGACTGTTTTAAGGACCATTCAAACAGAAGGTACTTTCCAGACGATGAAGCTCGACAGTAATTATATTCCATTACTGGCAATGCATCTAAAAAGGTAATGAGATGTTGTTTCTCCGTTTAAAATAGTTTTGTATGATTTTCGCAGATTTTTACAGATGAAACTCCTGAACTAATAGCGGCAAAATTTTAACTTAATCATGACACCAATGAGAAAAGGCGCCAATTTTCCTATTATGATTTAAATTAAATTTAAAGATATTTATATAACAAAAACAATTATGTAATACATTAAACATACATACCTTTTAATATTGGTGACAAAAGAACTTCCAAATAATAAAAATCTAAACAAAACGTTAATAAAATCAACCCACGTACTTGTAGTTCGTATGTTATAACCAAACTACTGGAGCTAGCAGGATTTCCGTGACAAGTTAAGAATGTGTGGAGTTAGCAGGAAATACTGAGGCGAATTAATTTACGTATTTGAATTTTAATGGAGATGACAGTGTTTATGATTATGTAGAATTTTTTTCTCTTTTTAATTATGTCATAATCACAAAATCGCCCAAAAGTGGAGATAGCAGGTTTACAATCTTCAGCGACGATATGGAGTCGTAAAAATAGATGCTCAATGAAGAAGTAGGAAGAATAAAGGACTTAAAGAACTATATTAATAAACCAAAAATAACACCAGTAACCAAAACACAAAAAATAAGATATTTAGGATACATTGAAACAATGAAAAGGAAAAAATGGCGAAAATAGTACTATCACGAAAATCAATACAAAAAAGAAGAAATGGTAGACCCAGAAAACGATAGAAGGATAGCGTAAATGAAGACTTAAAAGAAAGAAATATTGAGAATTGGAAAGAAAAAAAGCAATAAATGAAAGAAGTAAAGAAATTTATATAAAAAAAATGTAAGAAATTTTTAATGCATTTTATATAAATAAATGTAAATAGTAATTGTAATATAAAAATAATTTTTCAGCACTAGGCTTTTAAGGCTTGTTAAGCTTTATAAAAAAAAAAACACAAAATGTGCATTTTCTTTGTGTCAACGCAATATACGCCAGTATAATTACCGATGCATCTAATCATGAAAACGTAAAGTTGTTCCCGGTTGTGGTGAGAGGTTTCATTCCATTAGAAGGCATGAAGACGAAAATACTGAATTTTACGGCTAAAGATGGAGAAACATCTGATAATATTGTCCAGCTCTTGAGGAACAGTCTTGAAAAGTACAACATCTCAAGAAAGCTAGTTTCATTCTTCATTTTGATAATACTATTACTAATTTTGGTGGTAAAAACCGAGGTGGACAATCTAAATTTCATGGGAATTGGTTGTGCGCCTTGTAAAACCATCTCAATAAATGTGTTCAAAAATTATTTTTAATCACTGTATGACTTGAATATTTGAATCTAACCTGAATTGCAATTGTCTTTTTTCTATAGGCTAAGATTTTCAATCGGGTAGTCTTAAGAATTAAAGGTGAAGAAGTAGCTACGATTAAAATGGCACAGGCTTGGAATGGATTCCTGCAGTCGTTGAAAACAAGAGTGGATTCACAGTTTCTGTCGTCAGCTGTATTGAACGAAGTAAACAAAGCAGATGCGAACCTCGGTATTGATAAATAAATAGTGTTGCAAACAGCCCTTTCATTTTACCAAACTTGCATCGATTATCTCGAGCAGTATAAATCGCAGTTTGATGATGTTTTCAGGTTTGGAAGGGCTACACTCGCTACCGAGCCGAATTGGAATGAAGTTGAGGAAACGAATAAATCGTTCATGGCAGAGAATAATTGGATTAGCGTAGAAAAAAAACAATGTTGAATTATTGGATAAGTTCGGATATGTAAAGAAATTTGTGACCAGTGCAAAAATTACAGCTTGGAACGAAAATCACAAAAAACAACATCAACGCTGGGTCAAATTCTTGCTTCTCTTCTTATGGTACCCTATCCAATTAGTGGATGTTGACAACAATTCTGAAATACTCCTCTCGATCTTGTGTGGCTCTAAAAAGTGCATGGGCATCGAGATTTGTCCAATCTCTTATGTTTTTAAGCCATGAGTATTTCTTTCTTACGATGCCTCGTTTTCCTTCTATCTTCCCTTCCATGATAAGCTTTAAGAACTGGTACTTATAATTTTGAAATATATGACGCAGATAAGCAGTTTTTCTTTTTTTTTATTATTGGCAGTAATTTTCGTTTTCTGCCCATTCGATTTAATACTTCAGCATTTGTTGTGTGATCTGTCCAGGGAATTTTAAGTAGTCTTCTAAATACCCACATTTCAAAGGCCTCCAATCGGTTTATCACATTCGCCTTTATGGTCCAGGTTTCTACACCATATAGCAGTATGAAGTAAATCTAATATTTTACAAAGCGATATCGAAGCATTAAGTTGAGGGTGCTATTGCTTAGCAAGGTTCTCATATTAGTAAATGCTGTTCTGGCTTGCTCAATCCTGCTACGTATCTCTAGGTCTGGATCTAGATCTTCAGTTATCCAACTACCGAGATATCTGAACTTGGGAACCTTTTGGATGTTCTTGTTGGAACAAGAACATCCCACTCGTTCTCGTTCAGTGTTTATTATATCTATTAGTCGTTGTAGCGCTTCTTGGCTATCAGCTATTAGGACTGTATCATCAGAATAGCGGAGATTACTAATGGTCTGTCCGTTGATTTTGATTCCATCTTCAGTGTCACTTAAGGCCCTATCGAAAATCGTTTTAAAGTAAAGATTAAAAAGGAGGGGTGACAGCACACAGCCCTGTCGTACACCTTTTTCGATTGAGAAATATGATGTAGATTCCAGTCCTACTCTCACAGACGCCACTTGATACATATAAAGGTTCTTTATGATTTTAAGGTCATTCTCATCTATCGGACGTTCCTGGAGCAATCTTATTAATTCTGAATGATTAACACAATCAAATGCTTTCTGGTAATCTATAAAGCATAGGAAGACATATTTTTGCTAATCTCTGCATTTCTGAAGTAGGACAGTTAAGCTATAAAGTGCTTCTCTTGTGCTAAGTCCTTGTCGGAAACCGAACTGTGTGGGGCTAATGTCTCTTTCACATCTGTTGTATATTCTTGTGTGAATTATCTTTAAAAAGAGTTTTAGAACCTGGCTCAATAAGCTGGTCATTCGGAATTGGTCGCAACTATTAGCTTTTGGCTTTTTTGGGATTGGTATAAAGGTTGATTGAAGCCAGTCCTGTGGTATTTAATCGGACCCATAAATGTCATTAAAAAGATCCACCAAGGTGTCTAAATTGTCTTCACTCAACATTGTTAAAACCTCTATGTATATGTCGTCTGGGCCTGGTGCTTTTCCCCATTTGCTCTATTTGATTGCCCTTACAACTTCTGACTTCAATATTTTGGGAGAGGGTTCACTTTTATACTCACTTTCGAGTTTTATCTAGTTGTGTCTAGCTGCTGTGTGTAGTTTCTCCAATGTTAAAGTAGATCTTTGGTATCAGTAATTAATTTATTGTCCTTCACAATACTGTTAAAACTGCAAGGTTTAAATATGATAAATATATGCTTAAATATGATGCTTCGTTAATGCTTCCAACACTTCTAAAAGAATCACGTTCCGTAAAAAACGCTTTGCACGACTTTCGCTTCTGCGATTCTGCGAACGTCGAACGTGTTTTTCATTGATTAAAAAATATGGACAGCCAAAAAATCGCAACTTGGCATTAAAAATATATTGTTCGTAAAATCTTATCTGAAATTAGAATGTGTTGAAGTTTTTTAAAAGAGTCACCGTCATTGTTAAAGCAAATTTCATCGCAAGACAAATATGATTTTAAAAAATAAGCAGCGCAAAGAACTAATATATTTTGTTCGTTGAGATCAATTTAAAATATAAATAAATTGATTTTTAAATGCTTTGAAGCTGTTTTTTGTGACATGTTTAACAATTACTTTTTTTATGGGATCATGCCACAATTGGTTGTCATGAAAATTCAATTCTTATGTCAACCTAAGGTTACATTAACATGGAAATTCAAAATCAGTTAATTTTCTAATTTTCCTCTGTTGAGAATGATTTCCGGATTGAAAGTCGAAACTTGTTGTATTACAGTTCTTGATCAAAAAAATAAAAAATGGCCCGATTTTCATTGAAAAGTCGATTTCAGTTATTTTTTTAGCCTTGTCCCGAATTCGATTGAATTTGAGTTGGTCACACAAATTATGACCGACTATGACCTATTATTGCAATTGTGGCTAGTCCTCATTTCGCTGACAATTTCTAGGTCTTTATACAGATTTAAACGTCGTATATTTTTATCTTGAATATTTTATATTGAAGTAAAACCATCAGGGACGTTAACCCTATAGAGCATACGTTGGGCCTATCAGGCCTATGACGTTTTATTTTTCGCGATTTATGTCCAGTTCAAAACAATAATTTTTATGTTCAGTGTACCTTTCTAACTATGTAAGCAGTATAGAGTTCTGTATTAGTTAAAATTTTTAGTTACATAGAGTTAGAATAGAGAGTGCTATGAGCCTGACAGGCCTAACATATTCATTCGCGTTACTTGTTTGACGAATAAATACCACGTATTCTAGGTTTTAGAACGTTCTTTTGTTCTAAGAAAATAATTGCTGTTTTGTTAATTTTATTTATTTAAAATTACTAAAGGTGAAGTTTATATCATATCATGAATGTGTTGCTTGTGTGAGTCCATTTCAAATAGGTAAAGAAATAATAAATAAGTCTTACAATCAATTTAATTTAACTATCAGACGACCGGTTTCGCTTTCTACAATATGCAAAGCGTCTTCAGGTCTCGATAAAAAGTTAAACAAATGCTGAAATGATAAAATGATAAAAAATTTTTTTATTTTTTATCATTTCAGCATTTGTTTAACTTTGTATCGAGACCTGAAGATGCTTTGCATATTGTAGAAAGCGAAACCGGTCGTCTGATAGTTAAATTAAATTGATTGTAAGTAAGTCTTATTTATTATTTCTTTACCTATGTGAAGTTTATAATTGTTGTATCACATTGAGGTTAGAATGTTATATTATTACTTAGGTAAAAATAGATAATTACGAGAAAGAAGTACAGAAACTACAAAGGCTATATAAGGAGTTACTCACAGATGTAGAGGATATAGACGATGATAATGAAATGGTGGCGGATCCTGATTATTTTAAAGTAAGCGATCATAACACAACCTCAGAAGAGGATGTTGAAGGTGAAGCATATGTAAAAAATGAAAACAGCCAACCAGGTAAGAGTTTTCCTTTTTGTTTTCATAGGAAAGATATCACGAAATGAAAAAAATAATGTCCTCGTAAAAACTTGCGCACTAGGCAAAAAAATATGAGAACCCATATCCCTGGGGTAAAGCTTTATGTCAGAAATTCACAAACACCCTTAGAATGCCAGTTAACAACAAGAACAACGCTACAGAACAAAAACAACGACTTTGAATGAAATGTTATTGGAATCCTATACCTAGCAGTTACATTACATGGCAATAGATCAAATCGTGCCAAATTTTGGACCACTGATGGAACTGGTAACTCTATATTTCCGGCCGCAATGGGAATAAATCGTTTTTTTTTTTTCTTCTAAAATGCATTAGACTGGATGAACACAAGACCAGAAAGAAAAGAAGTAGACAAGATAACTGCTATTACAAACTGTTTTAAACTGTTCTGTAATAATTGTTAAATATCATATAGCGCTGATGAGTATGTGATACTAGATGAAATGTTATTGGCCTTCCACGGCAGGTGCAGTTTCCGTATGTATATTCCCCACAATGCAGGAAAATATGGTATCAAACTTTTTGTTTTAGTAGACGCCAGAACTTATTACACCGTCGTTATATAAAATATATATAAATATATATATAAAATTATAACAAAACTGGCGATGTTGTAGAACGATTGTATAAGCCTATTTTTAATTCCAGAATAAATGGTACAATTGATATAATTGGTTAACTGCAATTCAAATAATGGGAAAGATGCTTAAAGATCATAAGTTAAAACAGTTGTTGGAACTGTACTGTTGGATACCACCGGTATTCATTCAATCTAAAAATAGACACATACATTCAACATTATTTGGCTTCACCGGAAACGTTACTATTGCTTTATATATTAAAAAAAAAATGATAGCATTCTATAATATGACCAAATGAGGTATATATTAGGCCGATCAGTATGTGCCGAACAGTTATCATTGTAGTTGATAAAAAACCATTTAATGGAAAGAGCTGAAAC